CCCTAAATTTTTACATACAAAATAACAGCGATCTTTATTTCCAAGCCATCTCTGATGCCGGTTTTTATCTTAGGATTAATAAAATGATGATGCTGAACTAATATAATTTTTCTGTTCTTTTTTAGTGTAGAAGTCTCCATCCACATCTCCATGATCCAGGTCCACTACGTGCAACTTTTATTAAACCTTTTGTATATTGTATTTATTTTATTTTTGTATCTTGTATATTATAAATAAATCGAATTAGTTAAATACTTGGTATTTTATTTCCCTTGCTAGTGAAAGTCTGTTACAAAATGGCATAAGAAAACAATTACTAAAGAATATTAATTTTTAGATCTTCAAAATAATAATAAATGCCTTTAAATCCTTACCTCTTCACCCTTATGTGATCCTGATAGAAATCGGTGATTTTTGACAGTTAAAAATGTTGGTGCAATTTTGATTAAAAAGACGAAATTTTGGAGATTTGTATCAGGAGAACATAAAGAGTAAGGAGGTAAAAATAAATAAAATAATTTCTTGGCAAAATGGTGAATGCAACGCCTGCTCCTGGTATCGAAAAATACCTCCTCGCACTCATATGTTCCTGATACAAATTCAATTTTTCTCCGCTTTTGACGAAACCGACCAAAAATAATTTCGACCTGGCAAAAATTGGAGTACTCGACCAACGAGTTAGAATGAGTTAGATTTTTTCGAAAAACGGCCATAACTTCTAAACTATAAGGGCTAGAGAGGAACGGAGGGCGGCATTCGATTCGCCTTTCAACCCTCTATAAGGGTGCATAATTAGGGCGCGATCGGAGACAAAAAAAAATTTTGGGCAAAAATGAAGGAAGGTTAACCCCTTACCTCATTTGTCGCGAAAAAATTTTTTTGTTTCCGATCGCGCCCTCGTTTTGCGCCCTTATAGAGGGTTGAATTGCCTATCGAAAGCCGCCCTCCGTTCCTCTCTAGCCCTTATAGTTTCCGAGATATTAAGGGTTGAAGTTTGGAAACGAGTTCGAAGTCTTAGAGATAGCAGAAATATCGTTGAAAAATGCTTTATTTACGTGCGGTACTAAATTTGCTCCTTACCTCTTCAAACTTATGCGATCCTGATAGAAATCGCCGATTTTGGACGAGTTTTAAATATTTTTGTTCGATTTTGGTCAAAAGTTGAATTTTCTCGGATTTATATCAGGAGCACATAAGAGCGAGGAGGTATAGACTTAAAATTTTTCGTTCTATTTTTGTCAAAAAGTTGAAATATCAGAGACTTGTATCAGGAGTGCATAAGAGCGAGGAGGTAAATACTATCTCTACACACTTGCGTTCCTGATAGAAATAAGTGATATTTGACCAGTTTCAAAATAATTTCTGCAATTTTTGTTAAGGAGGTAAATACTATCTCTTCGCACTTATGTGTTCCTGATAGAAATCCGTGATTTTTGAAAAGGTTTAAAAATGTTTGTACAATTTTTGTTACAAGCTGAAAGATCAGGACTTTGTATCAGGGGTACATAAGAGCGAGGAGGTATATACTTAATCTTAGATTACGTGAGTAATCCATTCAATAAAACTCAATTTATAATTAATTATTTCTTTATTTCACCATATTTGACTCATTCAAATGATATTCAAAATAGGTATATAAGAATAAAACAAAGTAACAAGTACAGAATAGGGTCGAACTATGAATATAAATATTATCAACGGTTGATGCTTGGTGTAAGATGTCTATTTGCAGAGCAGAATATTATGGCCCTTGGTGGTACCCCTATTGGAAGTTCTAAATCTGCAAAAAAATATAAATTAGTAAGTAATTAATATAATTATTGAACATAATTATAGCTAAGAAAAACAACGTCAAGTTGGCTTGGAAATGACGATCCATAACATTCACCATATAAATTTACATGTAAAAATATAGCGACCCTCAATTCCAAACCAATTCCAACGCCGTTTTCTTTTGATCGAATGGTACTAGCGTATGATAAAAAAAACAGCGTCAAGTTGGCTTGGAAATGACGATCTATAACATTTACCATATAATTTTACATATATGACTGCGATCTTCATTTCCGAAGCAATTCTGCAGCCGTTTTTTCGATCCTATGGTACTATCGTATGATAAAAAAACAGCGTCAAGTTGGCTTGGAAATGATAATCAATAACTTTTATCGTACAAATTTTCCTATGAAACGACAGCGATCCTCAATTCCAAATCAATTCTGACGTCGTTTTTTCGATCTATGGTACCACCGTACGATAAAAAAAAAAACAGCGTCAAGTTGGCTTGGAAATGATAATCAATACATTTACCGTACAAATTTTCATATGAACGGACAGCGATCCCTAATTCCAAATCAATTCTGACGTCGTTTTTTTCGATCTATGGTACCACCGTATGATAAAAAAAAACAGTGTCAAGTTGGCTAATATATGACGACCGATGATATTTACATTATAATTTACATACAAAATATTTTTATATACAAAATGATGGCACTCGAAATTGCTAGGTCATTTTTGATGTTTTTTTTTCAATCGTATGGTACTGTATGACAAAAAAAAAGGAAATGACGATCGATGACATTTATTATATAATTTTAGATATAAAACGAAAGCGATCATTTCCAGACAAACTATATTGCCTTTTTTTGATCGTGTGCTACCGTACGATAAAAAAAAAACCGTCATGCTGGCTAGGGAATGGCGGTCTGTGACAATCAATGACATTAACATAAAATTTTACCTTTAGAAACCTAACGATTCTCATTTCAAAGACACTTCTGCAGCTGTTTTTTTATCATAAGGTCCCCGAAAAAAAAAACAGCGTCAAATTGACATGGAAATGACGACCCCCATGAGATTTACCGATATAATATGTTACATATAAAATAAAAACGATTAGCATTTAGACTTTTTTTGATAGTCTAGTACTGTACAATAAAAAAACAGCGTCAAGTTGTCTAAGAAATGACGACCGATGACATTTACAATATAATTTACTTATCAAATTTCTAGGCCAATTCTGATGGCGTTTTCTTTTTTCGATCGTAGGGTACCATATGATAAAAAAACAGCGTCAAGTTGGCTTGGAAATGGCGGTCTATGACAATCAATGACATCAGTATACATATAATGTTACATTTAAGAAGACAACGATTCTCATTTCAAAGACACTTCTGTAGCTATTTTTTTTATCGCAAGGTCCGTGTAAAAAAAAACAGCGTCAATAAATTGGCATGAAAATGACGACCTATGAGATTTACCCACATAATATGTTACATAAAAGCGATTAGCATTTAGACTTTTTTTGATCGTCTAGTTCTGTACAATAAAAAAAAGCGTCAAGTTGTCTAAGATATGACGATCGAATATATTTTGTGTATGGCACATTCCTATGGTGAAATACTTCGACTGATATTATAGACAGTAATTATGCCAAAAAACGATAAAAAACAATAAACATCAAATTACCTTAGAAATGCCGATCGACCAAAAAAAATGGGTGTAAAACCATTTGGAGTATTTCATTAGCGGCATTTCTAAGATAACTTGATGTCGTATTTTTTTTATTAGAAAAGAGCATTATTTTAAAATGTAACATAAGATCTAGTAGCCGTGGAAACAATCCATAGATAGTTATGATCATAACTACCTATGATACTATGAATCGGTGATTTTTGACAAAGTTTAAAAATTCTCTAGCAAAAAATTTCTTCAAAATTCTTTTGATTGTGTTGAAAATCTAATAATGATAGTGAGTATACATATTTAAAAAATAAGTTAATTATTATTACCTGATTTGGGACTCTAATAACGTTCATTTGCTGACAACATCCAGGCTCCACTGGCAGAGTCTAGTAGAAAATCTGAAACAAAAAAGATATAGTTAAAATAAGTTTCATTTAAAAAAGATATAATCCTTGTTTATATATAAAAATTCATATACAAGGATATAATATAAAGAAATAAACTTACATCCTATGATTTATATTAACTTTATTTAACAAAAACAGATTTAAATAATAAATACATATCATATTTTATTCAAGCTATAGTGTTGCAATTAACTGATTAAGTTAATTATTTACAATACTGGATATATTTTTAATTCTAAAACCTGAATAATAGGACCTTCGGTTGACTTGATCAATGTGGTAATGATGTCAAACGCATTTAATGCCATAAACGGTATTAAAAAGTACTTTTAGAAGCTTTCAAAATGTTTGCAAAATTCAAATTTTTAATAAAGCGCGGCTAACTGGTTACAGCGCCATTTCATCTTTGTGGAATATCTTGGAACTAAAATACGCTTATGGCGCCATCGAGCGGATAAAAGTTTAAACTTCGCTATTACATTACAGATAACTACTTGTTGTGCTAGTGGCGACATCTCTTTGGAAGTAGTTAAACATTACCGTGAAAATAAAAAGTAATTTCAAGAAATCTGTAATTTTAAGTGTCAAAAAAGTGTTGAATTAGCGCCATCTCTGTTTAATATCTATTACTTTTGAGATATTTAATTTGGAAAATTTGAAATTTCCCAAATTTTTATTTAAATTTTATTAATAATTTACCAAATATATTTGGAAAAAAGGTATAGTAGTAAAATTAATTTAGTTTAATTAATTTTTTGCAGGATATGAAGTCTTTTTGTCACCAAAAAACTACTGAATATGCGAACTGCATGTTATACTATTCGAAAGAATAAAGTGGAAAGCTATGGTGGAAAGTATATTTTATATTATTTTATTATTCTAATCATAAGTAAACGTTCTTATTTTAGCGCAAATAGAGCAAATGCCGCAGTACCACTGAGTAATTTTAATTCCATATATGAAGAAAAAAAGACCAGACTTACGAAATACCAGAGAGAAAGAACACATCGGTTATGAATATATTCTATAGTAATAAACTACTTTGAACTGATTATTGAACTTAGACCACCTGATATACAAATACGTTTTATATGTCTAAACATTGATTAAATACAAAGATAATAAAGATTCTTAATAAAACAACTGTATATTGCATAAACTAGTACATTTTTTACGTGCAAAACATCCTTTTGTATTATTACAGTATATTAAATATAATTCAGTCAACAAAAAGTTTATTTTTAATGTCTCTTATTGTTTAGTTGGAAATAAAATGTCAATAAACATATTTTTGTTCAGTAAAAACATACATAAACTGTTCCTACATTAGTCAAGTTCAATTACAGTCTCTTTAGTGTGCCACATTTTCTTATTTTCATAGTAATTTATAACAATTTCTGGACATCTCACGTTCACCTGGCTGGCTGGCACCAAGTCAGCTTCTTTACACTTTTTCCACATCATTAGAAACATAAGTTCCCCACTTGCATCGGTTGCTCCCACAATTTTATGCGGTTCTAAACCTCTATCAAACCCTTTAATTGTAGACAATAATTATTACAATACTTTAACAAACAATACAAATACCTCTGGCTCTATTATCTTCACTGATATTCTTTCTTTTATTCTTGTCTTCGGTGTCCAGTAAACTTGTTTCAAATTGAGATTCGTACGCAGCTATAAGATCAGGACAATCGAGATTTTCCTCAGGTTCCCACGTATTATCCTCGCTACAGTGATATTAATACATTAATCTAATAATTTTAATTATATAGACCAACAGCTTACTCATTGTAGCCCTTCCATTTCAACAGATACTCTACTTTTCCATTCCTGCTTCTTTTATCTAAGATTTTCTCTACTGAAAACTCTTCGGCTGGTTGATCAGTTGGTGTTGGTGCAGGAATGTTTACATCATCCTTTCTAGCTGTAAAAATTTGCTTTGCTAGAGTAAATATAATATAGAATCTAGAAATACTTGCTTTTAACCATGTTAATCAGTTATTACTTTGATATTTCTTAAATGGGATAGGTATATTTCTGTTTTGAAAACTAACCTCGAATAAACAAAAATAAAATGAAAAATCCATAGTATCCTCTTAAACTATATAGGCAACTCAATATACACCATATATACACTAAAAATTATTTTTCTTTAGACAATTTAAAATAAATATTAACATATGAATATGGCTAAAATTAAGAATATCTAGGTTTTCTCTTATATTTACTATAACAAGAAATCTTTTACAGCTTACACTATGATGATTTGACTATTATTTCAGCAATCCATCTACCAGCTGGAGAATTTTTGGTCGAAGGAATCATACCCAAGACAATTACTGTGAATAGAAGTGGATAAATAGAGTAATTACTACAGTAGAAGGTTCACACTGAGTAAGAAGGAACCTAGATAACTCAAATAATGAAATTAAATATTAATAACCAAGGTAAGGAGTACCTGAAATCAAAAGAGAATGTTGATTGTCCTGAACTCGAGCTGTTTAAAAACTAGTTTGAAGCAACTCTGTTTACTGATATAGACAAAACTAAGTGAAGACAAGGTCTGAGGTACTTACTACATGATTTTCCTTATTTTACTTTATACAGATTAATATTTCAGGATTTAAAAGGTTTTTTGAACTAAAAAAAATGTATTCTTATACATTCAAACTAAAAACTGTTTCTATTGATGTAAAAACAATGTAAAGAGGATAATCTTTCCTAGTAAGCCAGATAAATGTAGAATAGCCATATATAATTATAAATAACTGTGAAAATACGAAAACATGACATAGAAAATAAATGAAATACAACTTGACTGTAGTTATGTCAATACCGATACAAAAATTGAGTCAAATAAAGAAAATTTTGCATGATAACTAAGTAATTTCATTGTAATACCCACTTGTTATACTTAAAAGATTTATTGATCACTCCAAAATAATGCAAAGAAGTAAATTATGTACAAAAAGCAGTTGTTTTAAGAATTTTCGCTCTCCTTGTATTTACATTTCGTACAAGTATAAAACACTGTCTGTCCTTCATCGGCTGACCTAAGTTGAATTGTAGCATAAGACATCTTATTATTATCACATTTAGGGCATTTTCTCTCAACTATAGGTCCTTCGTCTTCTTCTTTCTCGTCATCAAATACCTTCAAATCATCCCTTTTCTTTTGTACATGGCGCGAATTGAAGTGTATAGTGTAATGTACTGTGCTATTTTCGTCTATTAACACTAAAACATCAATAAAACCTGTAAATAAAGCTCAGCAAACATGTAATACATACTTTCAGGTTTGTACTCTTTCGAACAAGTGTAACAAACAATATTTCCAATGTCCCTTAAGGGCGGTAATATCGAACCGCAGTCTGAACAAAAACCAGCCACTTTTTTAAACGAAGACGACATTATTTCTATACTTCTTTTGTAACTTTTAAGTTAAAATTTAAGGAAAAACCTAAGGGAAAAACTTTGAAAATTTCGTATTTTCTTAGGTTAAAATAAAATACTCGAAAATTTTATTCAGAGATGGCGCTAATTCAACACTTTTTGGGCACTAAAATTTACAGAATTCTTTAAATTAGGTCTAAATTCAGTTACTAATTAATAGATGTCGCCACGGTATTTTATTACAGAAACCCGTAAAAAGAAAACGCAGGTTTAACTACTTCGCGATAGGTGGCGCCACGAAAAAAAATTAGTTCCAAAAAACATCACCATGGCGCTGTAACTAGTTTGCCGCGCATTTTTTATAATTTAAATGAGCGCAAATGAGTTCTTAAAATGAGGCGTTTTGAAGTGTTTTAACGCATTGAAAGAGTTCAATTATGTTGTATTATTGAAATATTGATTAGAAAGTGATATTTTAAAGGGTTTTATAAGAAAAATTAGAGCAAATAAACTGATTAAAGTGGATAAATAGGTTTTAAATGAGCGCAAACGAGTTTAAGGTTTAAAAAGTGACGTTTTGATTTAGTCAAAAGTGTTGAGATAGCTTAATTAAGTTGTATTATTGAAGTATTGGTTAGAAATTGATATTTTGAAGGTTTTAGAGTTAAAAATATGTCTGTTATAGTGATTTAAAGTGGATAAATAGGTGTAAAAGCGTCGTGGAAGGCTGTGGGCTTCCGGAAGTGTGCGTTCGGGCTGCGCCCATCGACCCGAGACTCGATGCAAATTCGCGTGGCGTGACCGGGCGGCGTAATGGCCGTAAATTACCCTGATTAGAATAATAAATATGTATGTACGTGTGTTTGTTTGTTCGTGGCGATGTCGGGCGTGAGAACAAATGACAGGAAGTCGGTCGTAAATCAAAAATAAACGCTGCATTATCGCTGATAACGCCTCTGGTGCGCGGCGATGGCGGCTCCTTTTTTCCGCTACGCCGCTGTTTGTAGAAGCCGAAAACCACTAAAAGCTGCCACTTCAGTCGAGAGCTTACTGTGTACAGGGTGATCCTAAAATTAATTATACCCTATAATATACAGCTTTTGAGACAATAGATTTTTTTGAAACATAATATTTTAATTACATTCTATATTTTTGATAGGATTTTCTTTTATCTATGAGTATCTACCAAATCAAAGGTCCCTGCTAACCTACTATAATTAAAGCTGGTGTCACATCAGTCGGGATAGTATTGTACAGGATGGTTTTAAAATTAATTATTCTCTATACAAATCTTGAAAGGTGCTCATGGTTTTTTTGAAAACTAACATTTGTAGTAGTATCTTTGTATTTATCTCGCATAAACGAAAGCCTGATATGAAGCTTTTTTGACACACTTTATACCACACTGTTATTAATATTTATTAATAACATTAAAAATAAAACACAGAAACAGATAATTTTTATTATTATTATACTTTTGTTTCTAAACATATACCAAGAAAAATGAAATAATATAGTATTACACTTAGGCAATGCTAAATAAATTATATACCTAATAAATAAAACACAGAAACAGCTAAGATATTCTTTATTATACAGGAGTTCCTAAACCTTTACCGAGAAAAACGAAAGAAATATACCCAAAATCTGTAGAAAAATAAATGATTGCACCTAGGCAATGAAAACCGCGCTGGTTTTCCGCATAAAGGTCGGAAAATTCAAACCGACCCGGTGAAATATGTTCCAATTTCGGCGGAACAGATGGCGGCACTGAAAGCTGCCGTTTGTCTTCATCGCGGAAATCGTACTTGTGCGGGGGAAAACCCAGAAACAGAAAGACGTCAGTCAACTCGGCCAAACTTAGAGCGAACAAGATTTTACGAGGTCTATTGCCAACTTTTTCGATCTATTGTTGTGCCTTCTGATCTATAGATTACACTCTCAAGTGGTATCCTTTTCACAAAGTATAATAACTTAGAGATTGAACCTTATATGTAGCTCTTTACTAAAGTTTTCCCCCTTTTCATTATTAAGTACAAGATAAGACCATGAATGTGTTCTGTCGTTTCTTCTTCTGATTAAAGGAATCTGCACATGACTTGTGCTGATAATCCCATTATCTTTAAATGCATGTTGAGCTTGCAATGTCCTATTAGTAGACCCATTATAATTTTGACAGTTTTCCTTTGCTTATCAGGTCGTCTGTCGTAAATTTTGGCGACCGTTTTCTAATTTTTAAAATATGTCTTTTTAATCTCTACGTTCCTTGTGTTAGAATGAAAATAATGTTACAGTGGGAGTAAAACTAGCATATTTACTAGATATATCTTTCACTGAATTTCTTGACAGTAAAACCTTTCAGGAATAATCCACGACTGTAAATAAAGCAGTAAATAAAACCAAAATATCCATAAAGAGGGATGTAACACCCTTTCCAAAGCCGCCACATAAGTTTCTATTCACGCTTCGACATCCAAAAATCCAAAGTGTTGCGAGTTTATAAAAATAAAGTTTTACGGCGTCCCGGGGCACCGTATCTCATCGTTCGAAGCCCCATTTGCAGTTTATTCAAATTACCGGGGGTCCCTTTCATCCGATCGACGGATAAAACAGCCTTTTTACGAGTTTTTATGGCATCCGCAGATATGTTTTTATTTAGCCGCAGCTTCTACAGATACTCGCCCAAGAAATCGCACTTTTAAAGAGAACGGAGGTCTTTTTATGATATTTGTTGAATGGAGTTGAAATTGCAATTGACTGGAGGTGAGTAACACTGCGATAGCGATTTTCAAATCGTATCAGCGACTGTAACCACCCTCATTTCATTTGAAAAAATTGGCGCCGGGGGGCACGTATAGCCGCCCATACTAAAATATGTTAATAAAAGGTTGGTAGGCAGTTCTTTTAGTTTCAAAGTAAAGGAATTTTTCCAATTTTTAAAGGCGTAAACCGCGTTTCGCTAGCTACTGTAATTTTGGAGTTACGATTTTTTAAAATTTTTAACCCCTTCCCATACCCCCTTACCAACACCCCACCCCCACCAAAAACTAACGGCCAGATTCTCGGGTGCCACAGTATTTTTGTGCGAAATTTGGTTAAAATCGGTTTAGCGGTTTTTGAGTTATCGTGTTACAGACGGACAGACAGACAGACACCATAAAAATATTTTGTATTTAGGTCATTTATGAGGCCCCAAATAACTCATTTTGAGCGAAATTAAAAAAAAACTTTTTTTTGCCGATTTTAATAACCTACCATACCTATTGGTATGGTCAGCTAAAAAACGAGATATGATTAAAAATACGATTTTTTAACCGGCCAGAACAAGACACGAAAAACATTAGACGATCAAAATTATTTTTCCAAGGCATCTTGATTAAAATTAGCGTTTTTAACACAGCCACGATATTCTAGACTGAAATTTATAGTACACATTTTGTCAAAAGTTGCTCAAAAAAAATTTCTGCTGAAACAGGGAGTGACTAAAAACAATTGAATACGTCAATCAATCCTAATTTATGTCATATACTAACATACCAAAACTCGTTTTATTATCAAAAAAATAAAAACGTTATAGGGGTGAACCACATGTGAGAAACACCCGGTATATTATTGATCGTGGCCCTAGAAAATAATACGTTCTATATAAATAAATAAAATTAGAGAGAAAATTCAATCGCAGTTTACTACAAAACGCTTCAATAGTTAAGCCCTTGAAAAATACAAAAAATGTTCACCTGAACGCTTTGATTTTCGCGCTTTTTAAGTTCCTTTGGGAAAGCACTTTGCAAATTGTTTATTTTTTTTTACAGAATCAATAGTAGCATTTGTATCAACAGTTTTATAAAATTCCAGCATTTTTTAATAAGCTTTAATTTTTTCCTGTCTGTCTGAATAAACTTTACTTTTAATTTTCCAGTGGCCTATACAAATCAATAAAATCGGTTAAAAAATTATTATTACTTAAATCCAATGACTCAAGAATCTAAGGACAAATAACACCCGAGAGCAAATTGTGACGATCTCACCAAACAGTGCCGTGGCACATATTTTTCTTAACCTAGCTGTTTGAAGCAATATTTATATTTTTTGATAATTGTTTTGACTACGCATATGGTGTATCATCCTAATTAATTACGAAAAAAACGTATTAAAATGTTAACAAAAGGTACAAAACTAGTATCGACGTATAGCACATATCAAGTACATGTATATGTTAATTGAAATTGAAGAATAATTATCGAATTCAATAAGAAAACGCTAAAAAGTTGAAGTGGACTGGTTATTTACCTATGAAACGTAACTCCTGGCTCTTTCTTATCGCTGCTGCTTTTACACTTGAAAGCTGAACCACTAATCACCATTGTAATAAAGTTTATACAAAGTTTACCATACACAAACTATTAAAAATCGCTAAAATTGTCGCTGGCGACCAAATGATGACTCATTGTTTGCCATCAAAAGAAAGGTCTCTATAAGGTCACAAATTCTGCTGCAGCCCGTATAGGGGCGTTACATGTTCATATATTCTTTAGTCATTGCTTAAATCGCTCATTTTAATAGTACAAAATTTCCAACTCCTCAAAAGATGGGAACGTACGATTAAAACTGTCGATTTTTCGCCATACACTTGAGTCGGCCGTGAGATTTGAGTAATCTGCAGATTCAGAGCTGTCGACGGCCTGTATGTGTATGGAGAAATTTTAACTCACGATTGAACTGCAAATCGACAGTTCTGGACTGCCGGCGAACTTTATGTGAATGAGCACCTTTAGACCGTTCGAAGACTCCCATTCCAGGTTACGGATGGAGTGTTCCAGGTTCTTCAGTTCTGCTTTAAGTTCGGAAATATAAAATCACTTTTCATATTTCAAAAAAAAACGAAAATTAGACGCTCCCGAACCAATTTCCTTTGTACATCACTCATCATCACCATCCCTGTCAACTGTCACATACGAAAAATGAAAGATATACCTACTTACGTATGTATATCCCCCCTTGCTCCTTGCACCCCAACTTCCACCGTGTAATAGAAGGCGCGAATGTCACCCAGTGACGTAGATAAATGATGGGGGTACAGAGGAGGGGAAGTAGGGGTTTCGCGGGCGTCGATTTTT